TAAAGGCGCATATAAAAATGAATAGACGCGCATATAAGAATGAATAACGCTGTAAGTAATAGTTTTAAATTGTTTAGAGTTTACAAAAAAGTCTTACAGGGCTCGTATTAAGCGTATCGCGATCGCAATTGCTACACACACTTTTGTGATTAGTTTTTTCTTAAAAAAAATCTTTTCGCGACTTGTTTTTTTGTTGGTTGATTAATTACTTTTTTTCTAGCTAAGCATTTTTTTTTTTAGCAATTCTTAAAGGGATCCCTAAGTGCTCCTAACATATGATCTCATATAAAAGAGCATTAAAAAAAAAAAAGTAAGTTTTTTTTCTTTTTCACTAAATTGTAATAATAAATGCATGCTAACAAAAAGCAATTGCCGAAATCACTAAAAAACAACTCCATTTTGATTTTATTTTTTCACCATTGAAACTCGATTGTTAGTCGTTAAAAATCATGTTAGTACGTCACAACAACTTTAGAATATCTAATTCGATTTTCAAGTAAAAAAAAGTCGTGATTAAATAGTTAAGTTTTAATCAAGTTTTTTTAATTAGTTTTGCAAAAACAGTATAATAGCATTCGGTTGAAGGACGTCGTTAAAAAAAGTTATAAGTAACAGTTTTAAATAGTTTAGAACTTATAAAAAAGTAACTTATATAAGTAATAGTTTTAAATAGTTTAAAACTTATAAAAAAGTCTTACAGGGCTCGTATTAAGCGTACCGCGATTGCGATTGCTACACACACTTTTGTGATTAGTTTTTTCTTAAAAAAAATCTTTTTGCGACTCGTTTTTTTTTTGGTTGATTTATTACTTTTTTTCTAGCTTAGCATTTTTTTTAGCAATTCTTAAAAGTAATGTTTTTATCATAAAGAACCTCACACAAAATTTATTATTCTGAATAGATAGATGAATAGATAACTTGCTCTTTCGCGCGGAGATTTTCTTTCAACGTAAAACATTTTTGAATTTAAATTACTTTAAATCTCTGCGTGGAAAATTTTTACAAGGTCGTTAAAGCGAAAAGTTGAAAAGTTGGTTTTTATCTTTGGTTATCAAAACTGCATGTTTAAAATAAGGCTTAAAAACGTTAGAGCAAAAAAATTACTGACTTTTATTTGCATTTTTATACTGTTTGAAAAAAAAAAAACTAATAAAAAAGAATTAATATATAATTATTAATTAATATATTATTAGTTAATTCTTTTTTGTTAGTTTTTTTTTTCAAACAGTATAAAAATACAAATAAAAACCAGCAATTTTTTTACTTTAACGTTTTTAAGCCTTATTTTAAACATGAAGTATAATTCGATTTATTAAACCAAATTTTTTTGTTTTATCTTTTATTGGAAAACTTGAAATAGAAAAATTGAATAAAAACATCAACCATTTAAATGAAAAACTTAATTATATATTAAACTTTCATTAGTCCTTTATTCAAGAAACAATAAATTATAAAAAACGTGGTATCTAATTTTTATTAAGTTTTTGACAATGTTTTTTGATTTATTGACGATAATTTTTTCCCCCCATTGCACATCGGCGCGAGCTATGAGATAAAGGAGAGGGGGGGGGGGGAGGGAAAGCAAAAAAAAAATTTTTTTTTGCAGATTAGATTTTTTTGCGTTAAATTGAGCCTTGTCTTAGTTTAATTTCTAATAAAATATTTATTCAACGTTATCAATTTGAACCAAAAAAATATAGCAATTTAACATAAATGTTAATTTAACTAAAACATTTTACAATCATTATTTTTTTTATCAAGCAAAAATAAGAGTAACCGTCACTTTTGAAACCATAAAAATTACTGAAATAAATTTATTTTCTACTAAGGAAATATTTTAAATAAACTTTCATGCGTCTAAGTCAATATTCATTTGTTTTTAACTGACTAAAAAGAGTTTAAAATTTGACTTCTATTCATTTTTAGCCTGGGAATTGCCCTTATAACACAAATATATAAATTAAAAATAGAAAAAAAATTTTAATATACAAGTATATTTTCACAAAATGCTACAAAACTTATTCTTGTAAGTAATTATGTGTTTAAATTTAATTACGAACTAATGAGTTTGCAATAATGACATTTTGTCTACTTTGTTTAATTTGACGTACAAACGTTATTTTTTTGAGGCAGTAGAGTCAATAAACTTTGGACAAGACGCATTTTTTTTAATCGAAGAAAAGCGTTTTTTTGAAAATTAAATTTGTTAGTGTGTGTTCATTATTACGTTTTAGAAAAAATAATATACATCAAACATTTTTTTTTATGCTCTTTCATATGAGATCATATCTTTATAGCACTTAGGGATCCCTTTAAGAGTTTAGGAAAGGGACTTAATCATAAATGAGTTGCTTAATAACAGATGCTTTGCAAAGAAAGGGCAGCCAAGGATGCAGAAGATTTAAGTGATTTAGACTGAGTAATTCAGTTTCTACTTTGACTACCAATTTTTTAATGAAGCTTTTTTTATTTTATATTTTTTATTTTTAAAGTTGGAATGCAGAAACATTATTTGTCCTGAAAGATCACTTCATGCCCTTTTTTAACTACTTTTTTTTTAGATTTTAGATTTAAACTACTGAAACTTCTAAAAGATTTCCAAAACTTTCAAGTTATTTTTTGAAAAATCTCTCAATATTTTTCAGCTATTATTTCAAAAAAAATCTGCTTACTAATGATAAAATTTTTTATTTAAGCATCAATTTTCATAATTAATTTATTTTATTCCAAAACTTAAATAGATTTAGGGAATTTCTAAAATAATCACCTTAAATCTAATTATTACAACAAGTTCCAATATTAGAATTACAAATACTAACATAGGGTCTCAGATTATTCTAGGATTGTCAGTGTCAATCAAATGTCAAGATGTCAGAGACAACCAAAAAATTTAGTTAAGACTCTTTTTTAAATTTCACTTAATAAAATTAGTTAATTCCAATCTTTAGATAGTTGATTTTAACTAAAGCAAAAAAAAAGGTCTACCTTATTTTTTTTTTGTTAACTCACCTCCTCAAGGCCGAGAAGACCACTACAGACGAGGAGGCTACTTATTTGTAGTTATAACCCTCTCTCAACTCTATAACTCTGAAACACGAACCTTGACAAACAAGGCCGCTGCGCAGAGAAACAAGTTGAGCGCGGTACTACCAGGGACGTGGTGGGGATTGAACTCGGAACCTCTCGCTTATGAAGCGAGCGCTCTACCAGTACACCACTACCGCATAACCATTATTACCTTATTACCATTTGATAAACAATAGGTTAAAATTGTACTTATTTTATGCTTAAAATTTGCATTAATATTTATTTATGCAAATTTGCATAAATAAATAAATTTGCATAAATAAATAAATTTGCATAAATAAATAAATTTGCATAAATAAAAAAGTTTGCATAAATTTGAGGAAAACTTTAGATTTACTTAAATTATTTTTTATTTGAAGAATATTCAAATAGTTTAAAAATTTGGTTTTAATACAAAGTTTTATTGTAACATTGTAAAGTATTGATAATCAACCACCATCATTTAAAGCATTTTACAGACAGTAATAAAATAAAAAAACACTAAAAAAATAGCACTTACTTTGTATTCAAACAAATTTAAAAAAATTGTAACTCTATACAACAATTATTAGAACTTCTGTAAACCACTAGCTTTTTTAATGTGATATCATCAAACTGTTCCGGACCAAGCAGAACTATTTGTATACATTTGTATAAACAACTTAGTTGTAAAAAATTTTACTGTTTTGATGCTAACAGTTTTTAGACAAATAGGCCATTCTTTATCTCTCTCTTTATCTTAGCATGATTAAAAGAAAAAGTAATTAACTCTGGTAATATAAAATGTCCATTTATTATAGCAGCATGTTCATTTAAATTTTTAAACTTTCAAGTTTTTTCAACTTTTTATTTTATTTTACTTCAACATCAAAATTATTTAAAAAATTCAGGAACATCCTATAAAAACATAAAATCAACTTCTCTGGAAACTTGTTCCAAGAGAGGTTGATTTTATGTTTTTATATTCCACAATTTTTTGACATTATATGGATGTCCTCTGTACCAGTTGTTTCCAGCAAAATGTTTTCTAGCAATTCTATTTATTCTTGAAATATTGATAAAAAAGATTGAGGGCTTTTTAAACAAGAGGCCATATTTACAACCTCCACCTTTTCTACATTTACTCTTGAAATATTGATAAAAGAGATCAACTGATCTTTAAACAAGCGGCCATGGACCTACATTTATTCCATATTTAACTTGTTGATTGAATGCTTGAGAAATTTGAAATTTTTCTACCACTATTAACCATCTGTTTGTGAATCTTTAATTTTAATATTCAAAATTGTTCTGAATTCCAAACAAATTTTGCATTACTAATTTCATTTTTTTGTTGAATACATAGTAAATTAAATTTGCTATGTATTCAAAGGAAGATATTTTTTATTAAAAGACAGAGTTAAAGAGAAAAAAGCTACTTCAAAACTTCATCTTAAATCTATTTAAGAGCTTTTGTTACTAGACTTTTATGAAAAATTGCAGGAGGAAAAATTTAAACACACTAGTAGATCTTTGTGAAAATGTCCTAAGTTCTACTCCAGTTACAAGTCATAAGATCTACTGTTATAAAACTAATATTGTATGTTTTAAAATTTTAGAGTAAAGTTATTTTATTAGAAATTTTTTTAAACATAATTTTTAACTATTTTAACTTATTTTTAAAAACATATGAAAATTGATTTTTTTTAAAAAAAAAACACAATTTTAATAATATAGTAAAGTATCCTTGAGGTAGTAAAAGATTGACTTTCAAAACTGCAACTTCGTATCAATTTACTACTAATAAAGTGTTTTATAATAAACTTATTTAGATAAATTTGAGAAGTTTTTTTAGTATGGAATTTTACTGAAATCTACTACAACTTATCTAATAAAAATACTTTGGGAACTATTTAACATGGAGAGTTTAGTGCTTTGCGAGAAAAAAAAATTACCTTCTACGTAGTTAGCATTTATATAATCACTTGATGGATCATTATCAATGACATGAAGTACAACTCGAGTAGTATCATAAGCTGGTACATTATGATATCGATTCTTTATATTGTTTTCTTGAAGACGAGAGCAGCTATACGAATAAGCGAGATCACGATTAATCATTCCATACTCTTGTGAGAAACCATAGTTACCATTTGCTTTTAACCGGTTTACATGATCTTCAAAGTTCTTAGGAGCAATAGGTTCATAACGATCTTAAAAAAATAATAACTTAAAACATCAAATAAAGTGAATCCCATTTATCAAGCAGCTGTTGTTGGTTACAAACAAGTTATTATTGACCCAAATAATGGACTTATCTTATGCAATAGTTGTTATAATATCAGTAAAAATATCAGTCAGAACAGATTGTTACAAAAGATGAGAAGCCTAACCTATTCCAATAGGAGAAATTGTCTTGATTGGTTTCAACGTAGGTGATTCATTAGGTATCTTTTCTACATTTTTTCTTCTACAACAAATGAACAATATAACAAGAAAAATAATTATAATAGCACAACCAATCGGCACTACTATAGCAGCAATGATTCCTGGGCCTGTAAAAAAAGACCTAACTATAAAACCAATTTATATCATTAAATGTATGAACCACCTTAAAGAAATAACTTGAAATAAAAAATAAGTATAAATGTTGACTTATTGCTGATTAATATATTATTGATAATATAAATAATTATTAATAATCTATATATAAATCTATTGATAAAAATACATGCTAAGTATAGCTTATTTCACAACATTATTTCATTGTAAATAAGCAAAAACAAGCACAAAAACAAAGTAAAAAAATCACTTATTGCATTTGTATTTGCCTGTGTTTTCACTGGAGGATAATAATTGGTTGTCTGATACTTATCATCAGACACATAGCCTCGTATGAAGACAGTGTAATATGTTCCTGAATCAAGTGCTGGATTTTGAGCTAAAATTAGAAATACAGACATATAGCCTCGTATGAAGACAGTGTAATATGTTCCTGAATCAAGTGCTGGATTTTGAGCTAAAATTAGAAATATATGTTTAAACTATTAAAATATATCATAAAGTACTTAAATTTAAAAAAATGTATAACAACAAAGTTCTCACAAGAAAAAACAAAATATATAATAAAAAATATAATCAAAATATATATAAAATATAATTAAAAAGATTAGAAAAAAAAACAAGTTTAATTATATTCACTTTAAAAAAATCAACTAAATTAATTAAACTAATTAGATGATTTAATTTTGAATGCACTTAATTAAAATTTACTATAGTGCAGTGGCGTCGCTGAGGTTAGTGTCACCCCTCTAGACTAATAGGTGAAAAGGTGAAACTAAAAGAAGTCATCTATATTTAAAAATTTCTTAAAAAAAAAGAAAAAAAAAAGTCCATTAGAAAATAAAATCTGGCATATTTGTTTTTTACTCATTTTGGTATCGCTCCTCTGATGGTGTCACAAGGTGCAGGGCGCGCTCCTCTAGCAATGCCACTGCTATCGCATTTTATTTTTCTTATTTAACTTTTTATTTATTGTTTTATTTGTCAACTTTTGCTACGTAAATAGTCAATTATTGAATTATTACAGATTCCTTAAATAAAACTATAATAAAAAATAATAATTTAAACTGTATTAAAAAAATAAACACAATAAAACTTAGAAAGATTCTGAATAAATTGTTTTGCTTGAACTTAATAAAAAAAAAGGGGCTTCAGTACATACATCAACAATTTTTTCTTTCATTATTCTTTGTTTTTCTTCTTTTTCTGATAAATTAAAGATTTAAAAATTAAAAATTTCTAAAAAATTATATTAAATAAAGAGCACCCACTGTAAAATCAATAATAAATTTTTGTCTTTTTTGGTCGTAAATTTTTAAACAGAAGTATTGTATTAAAAAAACCTTTATTAATTATGCATAATAAATACTCTCTACAAATTTTAAAATTTCCATATTTTCTTAATAATTATTTTTTTTATAAAAAAAACTCCTGTATATACCCCTATTTACAAGTTCTTATTTTAGACACATAGCATGTGATCACTGTTTGAGTCAAGTTCTTGTACTGTTGTAGTCAAGTTTTTTTTATGCACCTATGATTGCATCAAATTCTTTATCAATTTAAAACATGACTAAAATAATTAAAAATATTAAACATAATATTTTCTGTTTGCCATGGTTACTATTTAATTGTTTTATGATACCTTTTACAAATATTTGCTGTCTTTGAAGTAACTTTTCATCCATTGATTCTTACTATTTAGAAATTTGCCAGACCTATTTACTTTTTGTAAGACTAATTTTAATTTGGCTGTTTAAAATTGGCATGATCTCAGCTGGCTATAACTAGATCACAGTTTATTGCACATCTTGTGTACTACCTTTAAGCTTATCAGGATTCTAAATTTCAATTTATTAGTTATAAATGATTACAATTTATTAGGCTGTTTTATCTTTAGATCTCAGTGTTGATGATCTCATATGTTTATTTGAATCACAAAGCTTCTAATAGTCACATGTTTGGCCTGAGCATATGTATTAATTTAACTAATTATTAAATATATTCTTTTACAATTTTGTTAAGCACCTCATTCAATCAGCTTTCTCTTTACTCTTTTTTGTTTTATCTGTTCTAAGACAGGTTTCTTTAAGATGTTACTTCTGTTCGAATTGACTTCAAAAGAAAAGTCATGTTTTCCTGACTCTTACAATTTACAACATTTAAAATCTTCTGTTGGTCACTTTCTTTCATTCGTCATTGAACTTTCTTTCAATCTTGCTCTTGAACTCTATTCTTTCTTTTTATTTAACTTGAATACTTATTGTTACAACAAACATTTGAAAGTAAATTTGTCAACAACACCAACAAAAACTGTTCAATTTGATAATGTCACTTGAAAGACTTAATAAAGTTGTTATTTTAAAATGGTTATGGTTATGGTTATGCTAAAATGAAAGATTAATTAAAGTTATTAAAGGTTTTTTACACATAAAAATCATCCATTTCAAAAAACAGCACTAAAAAAATTGGTTTCTTAAACCAATTTTTTGGCAGAAACCCATTTTTTTTAAGTATTAATTTAAGTAAACAACAATATCAAAACATTAGACAAGAGGCTGTTATCAGAAATTGTAATTTGTATCCTGATTACTAAAAGATTTGGAAGTGAAAATTGGCATGTAGGCCAAATAGTATATCAATTTCCGATATTGTTGCACAAGTATCATTAAAAAATTTATTAGAACATGCAGTGAGACATATTGTACAATTAAAAAACAAAATGATTTTTCAGCACATGGAATCCCTTAATACTAACAAAATTACAGAAGAGATAATATCTAGTTATGGTTGTGATAGCAGTTCGATCCAGCTTATAAACAAAAATTTGATACTGCTGGTTGTCATTTTGAATTTGAACTCAGAAAATAAGCATTTAAAAATGTTGAAAAATTTACCAAAATAACTAATGTGAATGAAAACTTGATTAAAAAGTTTAAAACTATTCTTATATCCATCTCTTGCCAGTATCAAATTAATTTAGATAAATTTGAAAAACATTGTTTTGAAATAACAAAACATTATGTCTAAATATCCTTGGTGTCCAATGCCAGCAACTTTACACAAAGTTTTAGTACATGGCAGTCAAATTCTAGAAAATACAGTACTACCAATTGGTTATTTTGGTGAAGAATGGTCTTAAGTGAGACACAAAATTTATAAACATAATAGACTAATAGATAGATAATTTTATGCTTGCAGATAAAATTATCTATCTATTAGTCTATTTAACAGATAAAAAATTTAGAAGATATTTTCATAGAGCCTTAGATACCTATCATTTCCAGTATTAATTAACAAAAAAGAATTCAGAATCATTGTAAGCTCCTTCTTCCTTCTGAGGTAATAAGTTTACTAAGAAAAATGCTATCTAATAGCTTTCAACATCAACATAGCAAAAACAAAGGAGATAATGAGGTAGATGAGGACCTAATTTCTATTAACTATTTAGATTCCATTGAAATGGATAGTTAAATATAGTTTAAATTTAACTCATTTTTTGAATGTGAATTCATCTAATAAAATTTCTTTACAATGCATAAATTAAATATATCTATAAATTAAATATACTAAATATATTGAATACTAAATATAATGAATACACTAAACAAGTATACTAAATATATTGAATACACTAAATATGTTAAATGTACTAAATATATTAAATATACTAAATATATTAAATATACTAAATATACTAAATATATTTAATATACTAAATACATTAAATACACTAAATATATTAAATATACTAAATATATTAAATATACTAAATATATGAAATGAACATATTAGCTAACTTAAGAATTAAAAATTATTAATTATTATGTGTTTATATTAAAATTATTAATTAATGCAAAAAAAAATTGGGTCTCAGAAACCATAGTGCACAGATAGCATAGAAAAAAATCCACATCTTTTAAGTGTTTAATTCTAGCACTTATATTTAAATATTTATGCTACTAAAGGAAATTGAAACGGTAAAAAGACAAAGAATTATTTAAAAAATTTACATGTCATGCTAATACCACATAAAGATACCTAAGCTTCAAATGCACATTTAAAAAAAAAAAAGAAAAAAAAAGTCTTTTACGGGCGACACAGTGCACTTGAAACAAACCAATTTATTTTAGATCTAATTTTAAACTTAAACTAATCTTAAACTAATCTTAATACTGTGTAAAAAAAAATTGGAAAGTATGATGTTAGTTTTCTGAAAACCTAGAACTTCTGCAAGAACTGCAAAAAATTTCTTTATTTCTAGAACTGATCTTATTACTTATTACTTATTAGTTTTATTTAGTTAACAAGAGAACAGAAAAGTTGCCTTGTCCCTCACTCATGGTTACCAAAATTTAAAGAATGCCATGTCATTAAAGATAGAGGCTTTATTACTATAAAGCAATATAAAAACTAGTATATAAAAAAGTTAGATGTATTATGAAACATTTAAGTTTGAATTAATTTAGTAGAAATAGTATATAGTGTTTTGATCTAGAAATTTGTGTCATTGACAAAGAAAAAATGTGAAACTTTGTTAAAAAAACAGCCTAATGAAATAGAAATTTTAAAAATTAATTCAAAAATTTTAACGCAGTTTTTAACAGGAATCATGCATAGAAAGAGTCATATACTAGCATCATGATCAAAATATCATCAGTCAGTGCATCACAAAAAACTTTCTTTAATAAACAAGGCAGCAAAATCATCGTTGAATTCTAAAACATTGTTAAAGAATAGTTTTCAATGAAAATTTTTTATCTTAGCATTTATGATATATGATACAACCATGACAACAGCCATGCAGTTTTGAAAGTAGAATGCTAAAAAAATTTTCTATTCTAACATCCATAGCAAATATTTTTTTTTTATATTTAAAAACTATTTTTATATTTGACTTTAATCTTAAATTTGCTCCAGATAAAAAACAAATATTACATGAAAAAAATATTATTATAATATTTAATATTATAATAATATATATAATATTTAATATTCATTAATATTATAAATATTAATGAATATTAAAAATGTTTGAGCATAAAAATCTTTTACATAAATAATAATTTATTAATAAGTGAAAACATGACAATTAAAAACTTTTTTTGAATTTCAATGTTCATTATGTTACATAACTTTCGTTAGTCCATGTTTATCTTGCAAATACCATTGGAATTGTATTTGTTGAATGTCTTTTTAATACAAATGGTATCATATTGAAAAAGAGATTCTCCTTAACACTTTAACAATGAAAAAAATTTATTTCATCTATGATAACTATCCCAATGTTGGTCTATGAGCAATGCTGAAACTTTTTGGAATTAAGACAATTTTTACATTTTAAATATTATTTACCTTTGTTTTTTAAATGTATACACATCATACACATTAGAGTGGGCTTGATTTAGATTGATAAGAGCTTTTTTTATGGGGCAAGACTTGCTTTTTGTTTCACATTATATTTACAGTTTGATATAAAAGCCAGGCATGAAAGTATCATTCCATGTTAAAGAGGTCTTGCATACAGAAAAGTTGTGCAAATAAAAATTAATTACAGCTACAACATACACACAAGATTATGCAATTTTAAAAGTAAAACTTATTTTATTATAATACTCACCAATTGAAGACTTCCTTTTACGTTTAGATGTTACCCCTGAACCAACAACAAACTCTGTAGCGTTTCCTGTAACAGTTCCTGCTAGATACAAACCATCCTTGTAGCTTGATATATCAGCATCTGAGTAGCTATTTGAACTTGTTGAGGGCAAAGAACTACTTGGTAACTTTCTAACAACAATATTGTAATTTCTAAATGATGAACATAAACAACACTGAAATAAAATGTTAATATATATAAAAATTAGTCTTGCATAAAAGTTCATCTACTATACTCTTGCACTTAGTCTTGCATAAAAGTTCATCTACTATAGTGTGTACAGATTTTTTTTTTTTTTTTCATTCACCTTCTCAAGGCCGAGAAGGCCACTACAGACGAGGAGGCTACTTAATAGTGGTTATAACCCTCTCTCAACTCTATAACTCCAAAACACAAACCTCGACCAACAAGGCCGCTGCGGGGAGAAACAAGTTGACCACTGTACTACCAGGGACGTGGTGGGGATCGAACTCGGAACCTCTCGCTTATGAAGCAAGTGTTTTACCACTACACCACTACTGCATAAATAGCAAATTGTTACTATTTTTCTCTAATTTTATATCATACAATATTTTCAGAAAAAGAAGAAAAAATGAAGAATAATGAGAGATAAGATTGCTGTCTTATGCCAAGCCCTCAGCCAATATAGAAGCAATACTTTGCAGTAGCAGGCGTTGAAATTTTCAGAGTACGACTCTGACTCCGACTCCAACTCTATATGAAAAGTTCTTTTTATATAGAGTTGGAGCCAAATATATAAAAAGTTCTTTAAAGGTTAAATATTTTGTACAAGCACATAGAACACCAAGAAGTTTTACTATTGGAATCGAAGTCACAATTTTGTTTAGCGACTCTAACTCCGCTAAAAATGTTGCTACTCCGACTCGACGACTCTAACTCCACAACCCAGGTATGAACTTAAGCCTGCAGCAGAAGGCTATTTCATTGTGATGTCAGTTATAAATTTCTAAATTTCTAGTTTTATAAAATAAATATGAACTTACTTTAAAAGAATTTATATTAATAATTTAAATAATATAAAGAAACACAAAAACTGCTAAATGTTTCATAATTAAGTTAACATGTTAAATGTATAAAAATATACAATAAAAGCAAAAATTTAAATCAGTGATTTATTCTTCAACACTTAATCAATAAGAACTTATAAGCACTTGCGTTTTTGTTCAGTCGCGTTTTTTTTTTTACTATAAGTAGTTAAAAAAAATCATGTTCAACCACAAACAATCATACAAAAAACTGGAAACTATAAGAGTTACTTTTTTGATGGTACAATGAAACCATCAAAAAAATAACTATAAAGAGTTATTTTTTTCAAAATATATTCAAAAAAATAATTCTGTATAATAACTCTTTTATAAATATAAAAGAGTTATTATAAAGAGTTATATTTTTGAATACAATGCGATAAAGAAATTTGCTTTTGATGGAGCGAATTTCTTTATCGCAAGCCCTGCATTTAAAAAAAAAAGTATTTAAAATTTTGTGCTTCTTTTTTTGTTTCAAAATAAAGATTCAGATCTAATATCTTTATTGATAATAAAATAATAAATAATTGTTATATTGATAAAAAATGAGCTTTGAGAAAACAAAGTGCTTCAAGCAAGTTGTCATTCTGGATCGAATTTTTGTCATAAATAATCCAGCAGCAGAAAAGGCTTGCTCAGACTCAATACTTGTTGGAGTCTCCAGTGCATTGAACAAATGTTCAAGATTGTCAGTTCCCTTTCCAATAGCTTCATAGACCAACATTTCTTTTGAAATGGCTTTAAATTTTTTGTTAAAATTGTGGCGCTGTTTTTTTGCAGAATGCAGAATGCTTCCTCGAGTTCATCTACAAGTGAAAATGGATTTTGATCAAGATTTTCTGAGCCACACACTTCTTGAATGAATTCTAAGTCATCTGGATTTGTTGGGAATAGTCTAGGCAATAAATCTTTGGCAGTCTTTTAAAGCACAGACGAAGGAATTTTGAAAACTGACCCATCTTTGTCGCTTTTTACTTGCAATGTGTTGTTATAAATTTTTTGGAAAAGCTTCTCGTAGAGCACTTCTTGAACTGGCATTTCCATGGGTGTAACACGTTTGATGCTCAGTTGAAACCAGTTTTCCGAACTTAACCATCATGGATGCTCCATTCGTAACTGAGGGGTCAGACAAAATGACTGATAGATGTTATTTTTTATCAGACAATTGCCGGACAATGTCCAATGTCTGGCAGGTATTTTGAGCACTGAATATTTAATACTATGAAGATGATTGTTTTATGAAACACAATATAAAAATTACCAATGTAAAATAAAACAAGATTTTTACTAAATATATATAAATATTTTAAAGAACTCTGTTAAAGAAAAAAATATTTAAATGCTCATATCTAGTAACTTTAAATTTATATATTTATTTATTTTATTTATATTTATATATTATTTTATATATTTTATATTATAAATTATTTATTTAAAAAAGTAAATATTCAAATGCTTGTAATCTAGTAACTTTAAATTTATCTATAAATTATTCATTTATTTACTTACAAATCTTAACAAAAATTATGAAAAAATAAATAAAAAGATTAAAAAAAAAAAATTTATTAGTTAAAATGTTATTAGAAAAAATGTTATTAGTTAAATACAGAAATTATTTTACATTATAATATTATTAATAAAATAATATTATTATCAAAATAATATATTAAATACTTTTATTAAAATAATAATAAAATAAGAACTTCAACCATTTATGTTAAAACAATTTTCACCACCAGTAAAATAAAAGTAATTTAAATAAGCAAAAAACTTAATAGATATAGTTTACGCCTTGAATAATATTTGTCAATGAAGCAAATTAATGGCTTCAGGGTTGTTAATTAAAAAATGACTAGGTTCTATTAACACGCAATAATTACTAGATAAAAATTTAATTTATATTCAAATATATTTTAGGTAGTACAATAATTAATATAAAAATTATTAGCAAATTATTAATTTTTATTTATTAAATTGTACATAAAAAGTTAATTTAATGCTAAGTTTTAAAAATAAAAACCAAGCAGTATTGTTAAAAACTAAAAATAAAAAATAAAAATTCGATTCAACATCTTTTTGCTTTTAAACATTTTACTTTAACCACCCGCTAACAATTAAAGTAGCATATCATAAACAAAACTATTTTAAACGCTTTTTCAGAATTTGAATGATTTTATGAGATTTTAGTACATGCTTTTTCCAAATAACATCTTGATTAATTATCAAACCATGATTTTAAAACTTTTTTTTAACTGGTCAACCATGACAGGCAAGAAACCATTTTGGGAGGTTAAAATAGCTCTATTTATCTTATCATATCTATGTATGTGTGTATATATATATATATATATATATATATATATATATATATATATATATATATATATATATATATATATATATATATATATATATATTAGGGTCGTTCTTAAAACACCATTTTTTGAAAATGCCTGCTGACACCCCCTAAATATGTTCTATTTAATAAAATAGTCCTGGATTTGAAAATGTTTTGAATGAAAAATATTTTTAGGGATGCCACAAGACCCTTAAACATCAAACAGAGCCCTAATATTTTTACAAAAAAAGTTTTTCAAAAGTATTTCTTATTGGGTCTCAAAAGAAGCGAAATTATACAAAAATATCAAAAATAATTATCATTTTATAAAAAAATTATTATTTTAGATTTAAGTGAACTGAAAATGATGTTTTTTTAACTAAAAATGAAAAATAGGGAACTTAACAAATTTTTTAATTCTAATTTTTTTTTTAATGATTTTTTATAAAATAATACTTATTTTCAAAATTTTAATATAATTTCGCTTCTTTTAAGACCCAACATGAAATACTTTTGAAACTTTTTTTGTGTGATAATATTAGGGACCTGTCGATACCTTTTCTATGAATTCATTGGTGATACTGCAGTCTGGTAATGTCATAATCCACCAAACTGTTGACATGCTGATGTACAGGTCTCTTATCAAACTGAGTTTCATAAATCTTCAGAATCTGGTATACCACCGAATATAATTTAAATGCTTTTTATAGGAAATTTTGTGGAATGGAAAACCACTGTGCATCAATAGTCTTTTTTCTAATCACAAAAGCCACAACTCTTACAGGATTAAGTAAATCCCCAGATTTCTTTTCATTGCCAGTCTTTTAATTTAAGACTTTTTTTTGTTCAACTAAGAATTAACTATAAGACTTCATGTTTGTCTTATGAATTCTGTTGCTTGCCTGAAAAATATTTTAAATTGTCTGATTTTGAATCTTTGTTTATCCATGAACTTTTAAATAATAAGTTTTTTGATACTATAAAACATTTTATTTTATATTATATTTTAATTTGGAAAAATTAATAATAATTAATTAATTAATAATTTAATTTTAAACAATTAGTGTACGATTTGAGGCATTAAAAATATTTACAATAAAAAATATATAGCAGTGTTAATAAGTTTGCCTCTGTTTACTTTCAAAAAAGCATTAGTGTTTCTTTAAAATTTGAGAAAAAATGGCTTCAAAGGTAACCAATAAAGTTTGTGCGGTTTGCAGGTCCATAAATAAATACACAAAAAATTAGTTTTAGTAAAGTTTATTCTGAAAAATAGTCTCCTTCAGCAAGAATGACCTTCTCCCATCATGAAACAAGCTTGTATATTCCATTTTTATAAAAGTCTTGAGTTTGGGAGCTAAAAAATTGATTTAACTCATTTTTGAGATCTTCTCTTTTTTGAAACTGTCGATTCTTCATATGATTATCCAGGGCCAAAAACAGGTGACAGTCGCTTGGGGCAAGGTCTGGTGAATACGGAGGGTGAGGTAGAATTTCCCATTGTAAACGTGCTAGAGTTTCCTGTGTGATTTTTGCGGTCTGGCATTGTCCTGGTGGAATACAACACCTTTTCTGTTCGCCAAAGCTGCTTGTTTTTGGTGATGAGCAACCAAAACTCTGTTTAATTGGGCTGAGTATATCTCAGCACTAATGGTTTGTCCACTTGGTAGCAACTCATAGTGAAGGATACCTGCTGTAGTCCACCATACACACAGTAAAACCTTTTGTTGGTGAATACGTGGTTTAGGAGTCATCGGTACTGGTTCTCTACTGGCTAACCAATGATATGTTGGTTTTTTGTTGCAGTACATAATCCATTTTTCGTCGCATGTCAACATCCGGTCAAAAAATGGCACTAAATTGTAGCGGGAAAGCAATGAAGAACAGATGGTTAAACACTGTAGCTTGTTTGTTTCACTCAACTCATAAGGTATCCTTATTTGATCAACTTCCAATGTTTTCTAAGTTGGTGCAAATGTGAAGGAATAGTTTCATCACTCACATTAAATCCTAAGGTAGGGTCCTGACATGTTTGGCTGGAGTCCTGCTCGATTGCCAGCTCGATATCCTCGTTGTTGACGGTGGATGGTCTTCTAGATCTTGGTTCATCTTCAAGGTTTTCATTTCCAGAAAAAAATTTTTTGAACCACTTTTGACCCGTCCGTTCTGCTAGGGTACCTTCCTCAAAAACAGCGCATATCTTATGACAAGCTTCTGCAGCTTTGGTGCCAAGTTTAAACTCATAAAGTAAACAGACGCGAATTATGGCATTTGACACAGCCATACTCAACTTAAGATATTTAAATTTAAATCGCACTAATAAAACTTATGAAACCGTGATTTGGATTGATTCTCCTAGAAACAAGTTTCAATTTATAAACAAAATTATCTCCCTACCACAACCATTATCTTATAATACTTTTGTTAGTAAATAGGAATTAAGAAAAACCACACAAACTTTATTGGTTATCTGATATTTTATTTATCTTTTCATGTAGTTTTTACTTCTGCACTTCATTAGTATCGCCTAATTTCAAAGATATTGTAGATTTACTTTATCATTTAATTATATTAATACGTTTTTACACATTGATTCCATCAAGTAATTGATCGAATCAATGTGTAAAAACGTTTTTTTTAATTTTTTTATTTATGTTATTCAACTCCCATTGGCCAAGAGGGCCACAACAGTTAAGGAGGCTACTTTATTGTGGTTACAACTCTTTCTCAATTCTTTAACTCTGAAACACAAACCTTGATGAACAAAGTTGCTGTGGAAAAAAAAAGATTGAGTGGGGTACTACCAGGTACATGGTAAGGATTAAACTTTCACTCATGAATATTTACTATTAATTCTCTAATCTAATTATTTACTATTAATTCTCTCTCAAATATCTGACATCTTTGACTGTTTTGCAGCCGTAATATTTTACAGTGATAATAAAAGCTGTGCAAAAATGTGGCATTTACTAAATTGATAAAAAAAAGAGTGATAATAAAATTTTAAATTGAATAATTGATAAGTACTGGAATTTTTGACTAATAAATGATTAAGAATTAAGCATAGTCAAATGAGCCAATGATTTAGATGGATAACTGAGATTTTGACATTTGAAATAAAAAACAACTGTTTAAAATTATTCAACCCATCACACTTCTTCAACCTTTCAAGTGTTTTACATTTGGTATTTGATAACAAAAACTATCTCTTATGAGGCGACATACATGTTGGCTAAAATACCTTCTGAAAAAATAAAATTTAGATTCAACTTAATCTTTTTTTGCTTAAATAAAGGGGAAAAAATGTTAAAAACTGAACAACTTCCAACATTTTTATTTTACTCTTGCTAAAAAAAGGCAATGTTACTTATAATAAGTAACATTACAATAATTTACATTAAGTAACAATACAATAATTTATTCAATAAATAAATAACACATTAAACATTTTACATTAAGTAACAATACAATAATTTAGTCAATAAATAAATTAACACATTAAACATTTTACATTAAGTAACAATACAACAATTTAGTCAATAAATAAATTAACACATTAAACATTTTACATTAAGTAACAATACAATAATTTAGTCAATAAATAAATACAAAATATAACATAAAAAATACCTAATAGGTCCATAAATGTTAGAAAAACTAACAAGACGTATTTTGAATGAGTTTTTCGTAATATCACTGTTAAGAACTTCAGGCAAAGGATCATTAAAAGGTGGAGGTGCTAAAAATAATTGATTATTCATAATCTGTAAAAACCATTGTTCAATCAAAAAAAAAAAAAAAAAAAAAAAAAAGATCACAGACTCAAAGGTTATTTTTTAAACTAAAATTTATAAATAACACGGTTCAAAAAAAAAAAAAAAGTAAAAAAATATATTACAGTAAATTAAAAAACAAACTTACAAAAAAACATTAACAATTAAGAATTTTATATTGATTTGTTGAAATATGTGAAATATACAATACAATATAATTAAAAAAAGAAGAAGATATAACTCACCAGCAGTTGATGTTATTCCAAAATTTACACTGTAGTTTGAAAACTGTTTATTTTCTACCATAATTCGAATTTCATATTTTGTGTATGGAGTTAAATTACTAATATTGCATTCACGTGTCTTTATTTGGCTACATCCACTACTATATATGAAATTTGAATCATCAGGTTTTTTATAGCTTACCTATAAAGATAATTGTATAAAAATATAATTATTTAAAAAGAAACAGAATCTAAATTTCATAACATAAAACAAAAGTTCTAGATCTAATCTAATTACAGAAAAGGTGAAAAATGTGTGTGTGTGTGTGTGTGTGTGTGTGTGTGTGTGTGTGTGTGTGTGTGTGTGTGTGTGTGTGTGTGTGATGAAATTGGTGTAAGATGCATTTAAACCATTACATGTTTAAAAGGAAAAAATAAACTAGTATATTATTAAAGAGCGGTCAATATAAAAATTATTATATTTTTAAAAGTATAACATTGTATTTATGAATATAATAATATATTCACAAATATGATAAGTTAAACACAAATTGATTAATTTGATTAAATATAGCACATTGTAAAAAACTCGGTTAAGATCAAAACTTAGAAAAAATCAATAACTTGGAGTAGGAGAGCTCAAAAATAAATTTTCTAAACTCTATAGTGAAAAAAGTACAGAACCTAATGAGTCATGAAACTTGCCATATCTCTTTTTAAGTTCTTATGTATTATTGTATCCAAATACTTAGGCCTCTTGATTTAAAAATAAGTATTCAGGACTTGAATGAATAATTAGTTGTCGTACATAACAATTCTAAGTTCTATTTCAGAGATTTAAGGCTATTGAAGCCCAGATAAAAATAGAGGACATTTGAGACATTCTATTGCTGGATTCAGTAAACTGTTTACCTGTCAACAACAAGTTTATTTTTGTAAGTTAATTTTTAGAGATTCAAGACTATTGAAAATAAACTTTTCTTCCTGTCAACAACAAATAAACAAAAAATCACTATAAAAAGATAACAATTAACTATATTGTAACAATACTTACACACAAAACAAAAACAAGCTTTACTACCCTGCTTGTGTAAAGCATCTCATCTGCTGCTAGCAACAAATTTTAACGCCTTAAAAGTTGTGCATTTATGTTTAAAAATCAATTAGAGTAGTTAAAGTAATGTACAGCATCATATGGTCATGATAAAAAAACTCTAAAAAAAAAAAAAAGATGTGCACAAGATGTGCACAATGCACAAGATGTGCACAATGGGCCAGGCTGTGACAAAAGTCAAAAATGTCATGTTCTTAGCAAAAAATTTTTTTAGATAGATTTATAGCATATATAATGGCCTTTCTAAAATGGATATTATTTTTTACAGTTACAAATTAAAGAATCATCATTTTCAGATATTCAATATTCAATATTGTGAATGGCTTGACAAAGGAGAAATTGATTTTGGAGGAGTGACTAAAGATATTCTTTCCAATTCAGAAAGTCTTGTTACACCATTCAAAAATCCTATAGGTAGACCAATTGAAAACTTTGACGATTGTTCTTTAAGAAAAAAATATAGAAAAATTAGTACAATTACGGATAGTTGTTTGAATTATTCAAATATTATTTACTGCTCAAACTAAATAAAGGTTAAGGTGAAATGGTTCATAAGATTTTAGAAACAAATAGAAAATCAACAACAATGACTTTGACTGAGGCTTCAGCTTTTACTTTTAGATTGTGACTTATCAAAGACTTCTTATCAATACATTCAAAATAATACTTAAGGAAAAAAAATTTGTATATACCCAGCATATAATAATGTCAGAGCTGCAAAAGAACTATGCTACCCTAATAATATATTTAATAGTGACTATTCAGCTAATGTTCTGATCTGGCAAATCTTGTAAAAGATTAGTAGGATTAAAATAAAATAAAAAGAAGTTTTTTTTTTTGTGAGTTTGATAAAGCAACCCTATATTAGAAAGCTGGATTTGATGGCTCAACTAGTCAAACCATTTATAAATAAAGACTATCAGATAGCAGCTTAAGTAATTTATCAAATGAAAATTCTTAGTTTTGTTTCTTTAGAACTATTTACAAGTATAGATAAAAAAAAAATTATTTTATGGAGAAACTTAAAGCCATCGTCAATAATTTATAGTCGACCTCTGAGTTTTGAATTTTAAAAAAGAAACTTAATCTATATTGATTGATGAGGAAAGCTTAAAAATGAAATGGCAAATTTGATTCCATCCATCGTTGTTTTCGAAGAGTGAAAAATATCTATTACAAACCATATCAAAATCGCTATGATTGATGGAAAGGCGCACACTGCCTTATCCAACGCAGCTGATTCTATTCAGTCATCCTCAGTGCGTGGATGTAACCCATCAAAAATGAATGACATTGAATTTTAATTGTTATTTAAAAAAAGCATTCCTCTCATGGTCTCCAGTATGGTCTTTCAAGCTTGCATGCTTTGATAAGACGGTTTGAATGCTTGCATTCAATATTGCATATAAAATGAAAAGTTTAATCTTGGCAAGCAAGCAAATTGAAGCCAAGAATTCAGTAATGGAGCAAAAGAGGTTAATTCAGAAAAGGTTCTTGGATAAACTTGGATTGATAGTAGATCAACCAAGAGAAGGTGGTAGTAGAACTGTTAACGATGTTAATACAGCCAGGACAGCTTTTTTAAATGATGACGTATTTAGTGACAGCTTTTTTAAATGATGACGTATTTAGTGAAATTACAGGAATTGATTAAGTGCTAATCGAAAGATTGTGTGTTATACTTTGTTGTATCTCCGGTGGTTTTGAATTAAACATTTTAAAATTTCGGGATTGTTTTAAAACTGCCAGATATTTTGTTTAACGTTACTCCTGGTAGTGCATGCCTCAAAGCCTGCATTAAATATTGGTAGATGGATACATTATATTGGAAAGAATATTATTGCCTACTGGTCTTATGTCAGAGGCTTGTAATAATGATTTTAAGAGTTATTACCAACACAAGAAAAAGTTGATCAACATAGAATGAAGATGTAATAAAATAACTGTTGTGCACTTCTGAACTTTTATGTTGTCCTGATGTATAAATAAGTTATGAGTTCTGTTTATTTTGTTTTATGCAAAATTATGTATCATTGCATTGTTATATATATATATATATATATATATATATATATATATATATATATATATATATATATATTATATATATATATATATATATATATATATATATATATATATATATATATATATATATATATTTACAGTATGCAAAAAAAATAATCCTGCACTTAAAAAAAATCGTAATTTTAAAGATTGCATCAAAAAAATTAGTTTTTCGTTAAAATATTTAAAAATTTTTTTTAGATATCTTATCAAGTTTTGTTTTAAGAATTTATTTGGGTATTAACGAGTTAATTGCTTTTCATACCTATTGAATTTTATACAATTGATCTAATGATGCATATAATTGACTGCAAAAAAAATAATTGTACGCTGACAAAATATGTCGTTATTTTAGCATAAATTGAGCGAATTGAACGATTAAACTAGTTAGTAAAATTAAAAATAGTAATTTTTTAAATACACTTTTGTTCTAGAAATAAAATATAGTGTTTCAGCAAAATGGCATCAAGAAAACAACATTTGTCTTTCCATCAACGAAGCCTCGTAGTTGATTTAAAAAATCAAGGAAAATCCTACTGTCAGATTCAAAAAGAAACAGGAATTCCTTTTACGACAGTTTTCTCAATTGCTAAGAAGCATAATCTGATTGGAACTGTTGCTAGTGTGGCTGGCAGAGGACGAAAACGCAAGACCACTAGTGCAATTGATCGCAATATCATCATTAATGTGAAGAAAAATAGATTTGTTTCGGCAGCTAAATTAGCTTTAAAAGTTCAAGAAGATCACAATATCACAGTAACCCTTCAAATGATTAGAAATCGTATTAGAGAACAAGGATATAGAGGTAGAGTAGTTCAAAAAAAACCTTTTTTAACTTCAAAACAAATGAAATGTCGATTAAAATTTGCAAAGAAGTACGAAAAAATGACGATATCTTATTGGAAAAAAATTTTGTGGTCAGATGAGTCCAAATACAACCTTGTCTCATCGGATGGAGTTTAAAAAGTGTGGCGAAAAAAAGAAGAAGCTTATAAATTAAGTTGTTTGCGAGGTAATGTAAAGCATGGAGGAGGAAATGTGATGGTTTGGGGTAGTATGAGTTAGAAAGGAGTAGGGAACTTGACAATTAGTGATGAAAAAATGGATGCTTCAATGTATTGTGAAATTCTTAAATCCAACTTGCGACCACCTACTACAAAATTGAGAATGGGAAAGGATTTTATACTGCAGCAGGATAACGATCCAAAACATACTGCTAAGAAAACAAAGGTATACTTTGACACAAATAACATCAATGTTATGGAATGGCCATCTCAGAGTCTGGACTTGAATCCTATAGAAAATTTGTAGTATATTTTGGACAGAAAAATTGGTGACCGAGCTTTAGACAAAAAGACGACTTAAAAGAAGCTATAATGAGCGCATGGGATAATATAACAACAGAAGAAACCCAAAATTTGGTCAAATCAATTGCCAAATCGTCTAGCTGAGACCATCAAGGCCAAAGGAGGCCCCACTCGATACTAAATTTCATGAAGTTTGATCAATTTGACATTATTTTTGAACTGTACGACTTTTTTTTTTGCAGTCAATTATATGCATCATTAGATCAATTGTGTAAAATTTAATAAGCATAGATGAGTTTTTGACTTTATGAAAATCCCAGAAATTTTTTTCTTTGAAAATCCTGGAAAATCGCGGAAAGTCATTTTCATGAAAATTCCGGAAAATCGCGGAAAATTCATGAAAATTCCGGAAAATCCCGGAAAAATTTAGGAAAAATTTAGGAATTTAGAAAATTTAGAAATTTAGGAAAAATTTAGAAAAATCAATAGCAAAAAGCATCCGGAATTTCCCGGAAACTTGATGTGAATTTCCGGAATTCCGGGAATTCCCGGAAAAAACTCATCTATGAATAGGTATGAAAAGCAATTAACTCACCAATACACAAATAAATTCTTAAAAGAAAACTTGATAAGATATCTAAAAAAAAATTTCAAATATTTTAATGAAAAACTAATTTTTTTGATGCAATCTTTAAAATTACGATTTTTTTTCAA